CTATAGGAGAAATCTATACAACCCTATAGCAGTGCTCTATATACCCCTATAGGACTCTATAGATGAATCTATATATCCCATAAGAGGCCTCTATATACCCCTATAGGAGGACTCCATATACCCCTATGGGGGGCTCTATATACCCCTATAAGGGGGATCTATACACCCCTAAAGGAGGACCCCATATACTCCTATAGGGGGCTCTATACACCCCTATAAGAGGGATCTATACACCCCTATAGGAGGACTCTGTATACCCCTATGGGGGCTCTATATACCCCTATGAGGGATCTATACACCCCTATAGGAGGACCCCATATACTCCTATAGGGGGCTCTATACACCCCTATAAGAGGGATCTATACACCCCTATAGGAGGACTCTGTATACCCCTATGGGGGCTCTATATACCCCTATAAGAGGACTCTATACATCCCTATAGGAGGACCCCGTATACCCCTATAGGGGGCTCTATAGGGGGCCCTACCTTGATCTGCCTCCCTCGGAAGAGGGACTCATCCAGGGCCATCGACGTCCGCACGGACTCCTTGTCGGAGAACTCGATGTAGGCGAAGCTGGAAGGGGCACGGGGGGTCCGTTACGGCCCCTACGGGGATTTTGGGGTGAAATCCAGGGGGTTTGGGTCATTTTGGGCGGCACGCACCCCTTTGGGTGCCCGCTGTACTTGTCACACAGGATGGTGACGCGGTTGACGGAGCCGCAGCCATGGAAGTGGGCCTCCAGCTCCTCCGCCGTCGCCCCATAGTCCACCTGCAGGGGGACAAGAGGGGGCCCAGTCACCCCTACGGCACTTGGGGGGCAGCCCCACTGAGGCCCCATTGACTCACGTTGCCCACGTAGATGGAGCGAGCGTCGGCTTCCATCTTCTCCTCCAAGGACATGATGACCGGGCCAGCTGCAGGGGACACAGACACCCCATAGAGCCCCATAGCGCCCCACAGGCACCCTGTAGGCACCCTACAAAGCCCCACAGACCCCCTATAGAGACCATATAGAGGCCCATAGGCACCTTACAGTGGCCCATAGTCCCCCACAGACCCCACATAGACCCCTGTAGACCCCACATAGACCTGTGTAGAGCCCCATAGAGCCCCACAACCCCCTATGGACCCACCATTGCCCGGGGGGGGGCTCATGTTCATCTGTTTTTCCACCTCGTTCTGCAGCTCCTTGAGCTTCTCGGCCTCCTCCTCCATCTCCCGCACCCGGGCCTTGATGGCCTCCAGCTCCTGGGGGGGGCAACAGGGGGGGGAGTGGGGCCATGCACCCCATAGGCACCCCATAACCCCCCTATAACCACCCATAGCCCCCCATAACCATATTGCCCCTATAGCACCATATAATAACCCCTATATTCTCTCTATAACCCTTACAGCTGCTTCACAACCCTCTATAACCCTCATAGCTCCTCTGTAACCCCCTATAACCCCTTTATAATGCCCCCATATCCCCTCTATAACCCCCGTATTTCCCCTGTAGCACCATATAATAACCCCTACATCCTCCCTATAATCTGCATAACCCCCCAATATCACCATATAATATACCCCCTATAACCCCATAAAGCGCCCCATATCCCCCCCCATAACGGCATATAATAACACCTATATCCCCAAGAACCACATAAAGTCCCCCATATCCCCCCAGGACACCATGAAACGCCTATATCCCACCTGTAACACTATATAGCTCCCTATACGACCCATATCCCCCCCCATAACACCCATAAGCCTTCTATAACTCCCATACCCCCCCTATAGCACCATATAACCCCTAAATCCCCCCTATAACACTATATAGCTCCTTATATCACCCCTATAACCCCCATAGCCCCCTATAGCACCATAGAACCCCTATATCCCCCTACAGCACCATATATCCCCTAAATCCCCCTATAACACTATATATCTCTTTATATCACCCCTATAACCCCCCATAGCACCATATAACCCCTAAATCCCCCTTATAACGCTATGTAACTCCCTATACTCCCATAAACCCTACAGCACCATATAATCCCCCATATCCCCCCATAACACTATATAGCTCCCTGTACCCCCCATATCCCCCCTATAGCACCCTATAAGAACCCCTATATCCCCTATAACGCCAAGAGGCACCCCGTATGCCCCTATATTCCCCCTATAGCACCATATAATCCCCCATAACACTATATAGCTCCCTATAACCCCCCTATAGCACCATATAACCCCTAAATCCCCCCTATAACAATATACAGCTCCTTATATCACCTCTATAACCCCCTCAGAGCACCATATAACCCCTATATCCCCCCCTACAGCATCCCACAAGAGCCCCTATATCCCCCCTGTATCACCCCATAACACTGTAGAGCTCCTTATATCACCCTTATAAGCCCCCTAGAGCACCATATAACCCCCAAATCCCCCCTATAACCCAGATATCCCCCCATAGCACCCCATAAGTACCCCTATAACGCCAAGAAGCGCCCTATATCCCCCCTATATCCCCACACGCTGTATAGGCCCCCCCCGTCCCCGCCACGTGACCCTTTTCCCGCCATCTCAGACCACGTGCTCCCCGTTACCGGGTCCTCAATGGCGGCGTCCCCTCCGTCGCCATCCCCCAGCCCGGCCTCCTCCTCCTCCAGCTCCTCGGCGCCCTCCTGCGGCGGGTGCGGGGCGGCGGCAGCGCCGGAACCGGAACCGGCACCGGCACCGGGAACCCCCCCTCCTCCTCCTCCTCCTCCTCCTCCTCCGCCCCCACCGGGGGCCGGCTCCCCCCCGGCCCCGCCGCTCCCCCCCGCGGCCCCGCGGCCTCCTCCGCCCCCCGCCGCCCGCCCGAGCCCCGCGGCCTCCTCCGGCCCGCCCGCCCCGACCCCGTTGCCGTAATGGGCTCCGCTGTCCCCCGCGGGCCCGGAGCCGCTCCCGGAGGCCGCGGCCGCCGCCGCTTCGGCCCCGCGCTGCCCCGCACCGCCGCCCCGCAGCGCCGCCATGGCCGCCCCGAGCCCGACTGAGCCTGCGCGCCGCGGGGCGGCGGGGCTTACGTGAGGCGGCGGCCAATGGCAGGCCGCGCGGGGGGCGCGGGGGGCGGGCTTGGCGGGCGGAGGGCCAATGGGGGCGCGAGGACGGGGGAAGGGGCGGCGCTTGCGCTTGAAGGGGACGCGCGGAGGGCGGGAAGCGGGTCGGCCCTGAGGCGGCGGGCGGCGGGCGGCTTTAACCCCATTTTAACGCGTTTTAACCCAAATTTAACCGATTTAACCCAATTTTAACTCGTTTTAACCCAAATTTAACCGGTTTTAACCCGATTCAACCCAATTTTAACCAGATTTAAACCAATTTTAACCCCATTTTAACCGATTTTTAACCCGGTTTAACCTAATTTTAACCCGATTTAACCCAACTTTAACCGGGTTTAACTCAATTTTAACCGATTTTTAACCCGGTTTTAACCCAATTTTAACCCGGTTTAACCCAATTTTAACCCGATTTAACCCAATTTTAACCGATTTTAACCACTTTTAACCCAATTTTAACCGATTTTAATCCAATTTTAAACACTTTTAACCGGTTTTAATCCAATTTTAACCGATTTTTAAACCGGTTTTAACCCAATTTTAACCCGTTTGAACTCAATTTTAACCGCTTTTAACCCAATTTTAACCGGTTTTAGCCCAATTTTAACCCATTTTAACCCAATTTTAACCCGCTTTAACCCATTTTTAACTGGTTTTAACCCGGTTTAACCCAGTTTTAACCCAGTTTTAACCCATTTTAACCCGGTTTTAACCGGTTTTAACACAATTTTAACCCATTTTTAACCCACTTTTAACCAGGTTTAACCCAATTTTAACCGGTTTTCACCTATTTTTAACCCGTTTTAACCCATTTTTGACAGGTTTTCACCCATTTTTGACCGGTTTTCACCCATTTTTAACCATTTAAAAGGCGTTTTTAGCTTAGGGAAACCTTTTTTAGCCGTTTTTCACCTTTTAAGCATTTTTTTGAACCCGTTTTCATCCTTTTTTGACCTGTTTTCTAAATTTGAACCCATTTCTAACCTCTTCTTAGTCATTTTTTGTCACTTAGAATCCTTTTTTAGCCGATTTCTCTTTTCAAACCCATTTTAAACCATTTTTAACCTTTTTTAACCCATTTTTGACCTACTTTTAACCTTTATAAGCCTTTTAAACGCATTTTTAACCTTTATAAACATTTTTACCCCGTTTTTAACACTTATAAAGGGTTTTTACCCCGTTTTTAACCTTTATAACCCTTTTTTACCCCATTTTTATCCTTTATAAACCCTTTTGAACCATTTCCCGGCACATTTGACCTCAGAAAATCACCCTTTTGATCGATTTTGACCCATTTTACCCCTTTACAGGCGTTTCGTAGCCAATGGGAAACACCCCGCCCCTTCTTAATGCCTTTTTAACCCGTTTTTAACCTATTTTTACCCCTTTTTGACCGGGTTTTACACCTTTTTACCCTTTTAAACCCATTTCCTAGCACTTTTTACCACAGAAAATCCCAGATTGGAGGGATTTTGATGCATTTCCCACCTCGGTGCAATGGGATATGGCGGAATAGGGGGGATAAAGGGGGGTATAATGGGATATAGGGGGGATAAAGGGGTATATAATGGGATATAAGGGCGATGAAGGGGTATATAATGGGTTAAAGGGGGGTATAATGGGATATAGGGGGGCTAAAGGGGTATATAATGGGATATAGGGGGGCTAAAGGGGTATATAATGGGATATAGGGGCATAAAGGGGTATATAATGGGATATAGGAGGGAAATAAGAGTATATAATGGGATATGGGGGGGCTAAAGGGGTATATAATGGGATATAGGGGGGATAAAGGGGTGCATAATGGGATGGGGGGGCTAAAGGGGTATATAATGGGATATAGGAGGGTTAAAGGGGTATATAATGGGATATAGGAGGGAAATAAGGATATATAATGGGATATAGGAGGGAAATAAGGGTATATAATGGGATATAGGGGGGATAAAGGGGTATTTAATGGGATATAGGGCAGGTAACGGGATATATAACGGGACATAAAGGGGTGCATTAGGGGATATCGAGGCTCTATAGAGCTCTATAAGGGTTCTATAGGGGCTCTATAGGGCTCCATAAGGGCCCCCATAGGCGCCCGCAGCTCCCTATAAGGGCACGGGGAGGGGGGGCTCGTCCCGGCCCTTCCCACCGGGAATGGCGGCCCGGCCCCACGTGACCCCCATTCCCTTCCTTCCTCCTCCTCCTCCTCCTCCTCCTCCTCCTCCTGGAGCCGCACCTGAGGGCGAAGGTCCCGGACACGGTACGGGCACCCCTATAGGGGCCTATGGGGGCTATGGGGCCCTTAAACCCCCTTGGGACCCCCTGAAATCCTCCTTTGGAACCGCGTGGATCCCTATGGAACCCCTTAGACCCACCTTAAAGCCCCCTTAAACCCCATGGGAACTCCTTACCCCCCCCTTTGGGCCCCTATGGAACCCCTTAAATTCCCTTTAAATTCCCCTTTGGGCCCCTTAAACCCTATTGGATCTCCTTAACCCCCCTTTGGGCCCCTATGGAACCCCTTAAATTCCCTTTAAATTCCCCTTTGGGCCCCTTAAACCCCATTGGAACTCCTTACCCCCCCCCTTTGGGCCCCTATGGAACCCCTTAAATTCCCTTTAAATCCCCCTTTGGGCCCCTTAAACCCCATTGGAACTCCTTAAACCCCCATAAAGCACCCCTTTGGGCCCCTATGGACCCTTATGGACCCCCTTAAACCACTTTAAAACCCCTTTAAAGCCCCCCTTGGGTCCCTATGGATCCCTATGGAACCCCTTAAACCACCTTAAAACCCCTTTAAATCCCCCCTTGGGCCCCTATGGACCCTTATGGAACCCCTTAAACCACCTTAAAACCCCTTTAAAGCCCCCCTTGGGCCCCTATGGAACCCCTTAAACCAACTTAAAAACCCCTTTAAACCCCCCCTGGGGCCCCTTAAACCCCATTGGAACAGCTTGGGCCCCCCTTAAGCCCTATTTAAACCTCCTCTTTGGGCCCCTTAACCCCCTTTAAGCCCCTCTTTACCCCCATAGACCCCCTTAAACCCCTTTGGGCCCCATTTCACCCCCATTTAACCTCATTTTTTCCCCATTTCCCCCCATTTCTCCCTCCTTTAACCCCATTTTCCCCCATTTTTAACCCCATTTTCCACCCCATTTCCCCTTCTTTTAACCCCATTTTCCCTTCTTTTAACCCCATTTCCCCTACTTTTAACCCCATTTTCCCCCTTTTAACCCAATTTTTCCCCATTTAACCCCATTTTCCCCTCTTTTAACCCCCTTTAACCCCATTTTCCCCATCTAACCCCATTTCCCCCTCTTTTAACCCCCTTTAACCCCATTTTCCCTCATTTAACCCCATTTTCCCCTCTTTTAACCCCATTTCAATGCCATTTAACCCCATTTCCCCTATCTAACCCCATTTCCACGCCATTTAACCCCATTTTCCCCCATTTTCCCCTCTTTTAACCCCGTTTTCCACCCCATCTAACCCCATTCCCCCATTTAACCCCATTTTCCCCTCTTTTAACCCCATTTCCCCCCATTTTCCCCTCTTTTAACCCCATTTCCATGCCATTTAACCCCATTTTCCCCCATTGTCCCCTCTTTTAATCCCATTTTCCCCTCTTTTAACCCCTTTTTTCACCCCTTTTAATCCCATTTCCCCCCATTTTCCCCTCTTTTAACCCCATTTCCCCCCCTTGCAGCCCCAGGTCCCCCCCCACGGCCGCCATGGTAGAAGGGACCCCAAAGACGGGGGCGCCCCCTGGCGGCGCGGGGGTGTCCCTGAAGAAGGAGATCGGGCTCCTGAGCGCCTGCGGCATCATCGTGGGTGAGCACTGATTTGGGGCCAATTCCTGCGGGTTTGGGGCTTTTTCCTGCGCTTTGGGGCATTGTCCTTCATTTTGGGGCATATTCCTTCATTTGGGGTCATTTTCCTTCATTTTGGGGGGTTATTCCATCATTTAGGGGTGGTAGTCCCACTTTTTGGGTCATAATTGCATGCTTTGGGGGTTATTCCCGGTTTGGGGGGGCTATTCCTTCATTTTGGGGCTATTCCTTCATTTTCAGCTCTTATCCACACATTGGGGCTTACGTTCGTTCATTTCTCCCCCATTGTCCCCATTCCCCCATTGACCCCCATTCATTCCCATCCCCATTCACCCCATTGACCCCCATTCCTCCACTGACGCCCATTCATTCCCACCCCCATTGCCCCCCATTCATTCCCATCCCTATTCCCCCCCATTGACCCCCATTGTTCCCCATTCATTCCCATCCCCTTTCACCCCATTGACCCCGATTCCCCCCATTGACCCCCATTCATTCCCACTCCCATTGGCCCCCCTTTACCCCCATTCATTCCCGTCCCCATTCCCCCCATTGCCCCCCATTCATTCCCATTGCCCCCCATTCATTCCCATTCCCCCCCATGGATCCTACTGTCCCCCCATTCATCCCCATTGATCCCATTGCCCCCCATGGATCCCATTGTCCCCCCATTGATCCCCATTGATCCCATTGCCCCCCATTCATTCCCATCCCCATTGATCCCATTGCCCACCATTGACCCCATTGCCCCCCACTGATCCCATTGCCCCCCACTGATCCCACTGCCCCCATTGACCCCATTGACCCCAT